CTGTCTGACTTCATTCAGATGACCCCGTTTCAACCCACCTCCGTAGCTAAAGCTTCATCAGAGTATCATTACTCGCGGACTCTTACTGTATTCCGCGTCTCATTTCAACCGGTCCGGCAGAAGACCGCCATGTTGAGCCTGATTCTGCCAGAGGTTTCTTCCCAATGGGGAGTTATTCCTCTCCACTGTCGCTTCATGCTTGCTCATCATGGTTCTCTCAATCAGTGTTATCCAAACTGGACTTCCATCTTCCAGGTCCCTGAGTGAAGCTCTAGTATCAGCTCACTCATTCCACTGGATCTCCCCATAAAGCTCAGCACACCGTCTCTCTAACCAGCAGTCTACAGACTGACCACCTTTATCCATCTCCACTCCACCACCAGTTTCAGGCCTGGGGGAAACAGCCCTATTCTTTATTGCTGGTTATGCATATCTATCAAAATTAAGCGCTGTGTTTCCTGCCGAGGTCTGAGCGCCAAAGACCAAGTAATTGTATCAATAAACTTCTTCTAATTGTCTTTTCTCTTTGTGTGAGTTTTTCAGAATGAATGCACTTGCACTGCAGAGATGTATTGACCTTAAAACAAAAGTAAAAAAAAAAAAAATAATAAAATATGTTGATCACAGTGCATGGTGTATGGTCCCACCGCAACACACCTTATCCAGGAAAATCCAGATGTAACAGGGGAAAATTAACAAAACCTCTTCTGAGTTTTTGTGAGTCTAGACTGAATGAACATAACCGATGAAGAAGTAGCCATGGAGATACTTTGTGCACTAATTCCAACAGCAAAAACATTAAAAAACTTGAAAAAGTATTTGTTAAAGTTGCTTATCTTTTTTTTTTTTTTCTCTTCAAACCAACAATGTTGTCTCGTTACCTAACAGTTAAACACAGGATTGTTTACGTTATTACACATAAGCTGCCATGACTTATACTTATAAATCCTCTCTCACTGTTGAGGTATTGAAGGATGGAAACAGTTTTAACACACACCAATCATCTCGTTATGATGAGAAAATGACTTTCGTTATCTTTGGATAATTAGAAAATTAACTTGTTTTCTCGAGAAAACCACAGTGAAAAAGTATCTGAGGGACAATAAAACATAAAAATAAAAATATTTGCTAAGACAGGCAGTTCATTTTCAATTGAAAATACAACCTTTAGGAAAATCTTTGTTTTTCCAATCTGCCAATCATCTTGTTTACCCAGCCGGGCTGAGACGATACGCTGACAGGTTCCTCTCAGGTCTTCCTAAATAGGAATATAAAAATAAAAATAATAGTCAGGAAATTTTACATATAAAGTCTGTATAACAAAAATCTTTTAAAACAATTATAGTAATTACAAGTAAGAAAACTAGTAAAACTCTTGT